TAATTGGAAAGGTAAAAAAGTAGGATCAAAAACAGAAAAGTAATGCAAAGACAAGAATAAGTCAATACTTCTCAGTAATAGCTGTGAATGTGCATGTGCATGGTCTCACCTGCTGAGGAAAGGCAAGGACTGGCGAATTGAATCAAAAAAGAAAATGCAGTGGTATGCTATATACAAGAAATATATTTAATCCAAAAAATCATAGATTAAAAAAAATCAAAGGATGTAAAACAATATATAACAGGAGTAATGCAAAAAAGCAGGAGTACCTAACCTATTTTCAGACAAATAGTGCTTCAAGCCAAAATTGATCACAAGAAAAAGAAAAGGTCACTTCAAATTGGTTCAGGAAACAATTCAACAGAAAGAGATAACAATTATATATGCACCAAACACCAGCATCCTCAAATTCATTAAATAAGCATCATTTGTCAAAAAATATCTGCTAAATATCAACCCAATTACAGTTGGAAACTTCAATTCCCCATCATTACAAAATGACAGATCATTTAGAAAAAAAATTCTCAAAGAAATATCAGATTTTACCCACACTTTGAAGCAAATGTACTTTATTGATATCTACAGAGTGTTCTACAGTGGTTTTTCTATAAAATGGAATATTACTCAGCCATAAAGAATGAGACATTAGATTCATATATAGGAAAATGCATACATATTGAGGATATACTCCTAAGTGAAATAAATAAGTCACACGTGTAAATACTGAATAGTTTCTCTGGTGTGAATAAAATATAATAGTACATAAGATCGTAATGATATAATGGGCATTGTGAAATAGGAAGAAAGAGGCTAAAGGTGCAGGAAAAGTGGGAAGAGTAGGAGAAAGGCAATAAAGGAAAAGACAAAAATAGGAGAAAATGAAAAAATGGAAACGAAGTGTTTGTACGGGGGAGAGGAGGACGGGTGAAGGGAGGGCAGGGAAAAGGGGAAAAAAATGAGAACCAAGATCTGTCATGTAAAGGTACAAGATTTCAATGATGAATGTAACTGTACTGTATACCTAAAATGTATCAATAAACTCAATGAGAAAAAAAAAGAATGCACATTCTCAGCAGCACATGGAATTTTGACTAAAATAGACTACGTACTAGCTCATAAATTAGACTTAAGCACAAAAAGATCTAAATATTAAAACAGAAACAGTTAATTTGCTAGAAGATAAAATAGGTAAATGAATACATATGCATAAGAAGGGACTTCTGAACAGAGCTCCAATTACATAAGAAATAACTTCAAGAATCAACAAATGGGATTATATCAAAGTAAGATTCTCTACTGCAAAGGAAACAAACCAACAGAGTAAAGAGACGATCTATAGAATAGGAGTTTTTTCTCTAGCTACTGCTCAGACAAAGGAATATCTAGAATATACAAAGTATTCAGAAAATATAGCCCCCCTAAATAGAAGATTCAATAAAAAATGGGTAATTGAAATAGACACTTCTCAGAAGAAGTGAAAATGGCCCATAATTACCTGAAAAAAAAGTACATCTCTGGTTATTATAGAAATGCAAATTAAAACAACACTAAGATTTTATTTTACTCTGAAAGAATAGCTATAATTAAGGATCACATAAATGCTGGCAAGGCTGCAAGGATGAAAGGGCCCCTCCTACATTGTTGGTAGAAATATAAACTAGTATAATCAGTATGGAAATAAGTGTGGAGAGTCTTCAAAAAATGTATACTAGAAATTCTAACTGACCTAGCTATTTCTCTTTTACATATCTTCCTGAAAGATTTGAAGATATTACACTAGTGATACATTCATGGCCATGTTTACAGCAGTATAACTCATGAGAACTAAACCCTGGAAGCAGTCTGTATTTCCATCAGCAGATGAAACATAAATAATGTGTGGTATTTATACACACAGAGTACTATTTTGCTATAAAGACATATAAATTTGAGTCATTTTTTGGGTAATGTATACACTTTGAGGTCATAATGTTAAGTGAAATAACTTAGACATACATGCTTAAATATCACATCGTTTCTTTATATTAGAAACCTAAAGTTAAGTATATTAAAGAAGAAAACAAATAATTGGAAACAGGGAGGTACTTTGCAAACGAGCACGAAACCAAGAGTTTGGGGGAGGAGAGGGTGCAGGGAGGGGAAGAGGATGTAAAATAATTAAGGTGTATTATATACATGAACCAAATCATAATCAGTGTGAACTGAAAACGTGTGTGTGTGCGTGTGTGTGTGTGTGTGTGTGTGTGTGTGTGTTTAGACAGGGTCTCACTATGTAGCTGAGACTGACCTGAAACTCACTATGTAGCCCAGACTGGTCTCAAATTCACAGCGATCCTCCTGCCTCAGCCTGAGTGATGGGATTACAGGCATGTAATTACAACCATGCCCGGCTGTACACATATATATGTTTTTTAAGTATGTTATTCCCTTCACTCTGTAGGAATATAAGTGATGGATGTTTTTAGCCTAGCATGATAGTATCAACACAAATCATTTTATGTTTGGATATTGTCAGGAACTTTTAAAATATAAAAGATTCCTTTATTTAACCTTTATACAATATCTGCTATGTATAAAGTACTGTTTTTGGTACTTTTTCAATATTAATTATTAGGATAACATTATACGGTACATATTGTTAGTCCTATAGTTGATCTAAGTGAGGTCAGCAGAGGTTAACTCATTTGGGCAACTTTACCTAACTAGTATTGGACACTTGTTTCTATAAAATGTGAACCTCATTTAGCTATACTGAGATTATGCTAAACAAGGCCCAAACAATCTCTCAAGGAAGCATCACAGAGAAGCATTAAGAGTGGATTGATTGTCTGATAGCTGAAATAGAAAAATCCCTTTAAAGTTTCACATTTCATTGTTCTCATCTTGGGTTCTTCTTTTTGATCCCTAAGGATAATTTACAAGACCAGTATATGCCACTCCAAAATATGCCCCTTAGGCCCAGTGATTATTTTGAGCTCATTATTTGAGAGACTACTGACAACCTAGGTAGAGCTCTGAAAACCAATACATGTCACTGTTTCATAGGGGAAATGTATATCAATAAAGGAAACCTCCATTTAAGAGGGGTTTTTCCTGACTTATCAGGAAGCAGATGACTCAACAGAGACTTCTCATGTAGAGGGCTCTAAGTTAAGTCTGGACAGCAGACTTTACCTTTGTTTATTGTGATTGTCTTGTTTATTTCATCTATACTTTCCTCTCCCACATCTTTCTTTCAGCTTAAGTCCGAACTCAAATCTACTCTAAAATTTGCTCATCCTCTGAGTATCTCCCAAATATAAATATAAGTAAACCTTTGTTTTTTCAATTGTTATTATGTCTTTTGTTACAGGGCTCACTCACAATTAAGATCTATGATGATAGTAAGAAAATTGTTTTATCTTCCCAATAGCAACAAGGGCACATTGTTCTGTCTAAATTTCTGTCCAAGGGTGACAAAACCTTTTTGTCCTTTCATGTAACCAATGGAAGCTAGAACTTTAAAAAATATTGTGTATTTATCAATCATTTAAAAAGGAAATAAAGAAAATTGAGGTGAAAAAAATGATAACCTGATATATAAACACATATGATCAACAATGCCATAATAATCATGGGCCTTGTTTCATCTGGGGTTTATTTCCTTAGCTAGTCTGTCACTCCAAGGAATAAGCCCTCCTGACTACCAATTCTACTATGTTACTAAAAGATTTTAAAGGTGGGAATCACTTTATCCCTTCAATTTATCAATTGTCTATTTATTAAAAAAAAGAAGAAAATTTCCCCTGTCACTTAATTAAGAACCCACATTCACTTTCATACATAGTTTTGAAACATATTTGGCAGAACTCTAGCTATAAAAAAAATTCCATCTACCTAAGCTGTACCATATCCTCTATACTATAATAATACGCACCAATTATACAAGAAGAAATACATATATATACATATATATGTATACTAGAAACAAGATTTTACTATTACAAATTATTTTTATAATTAATGGAGAAATAATATTTACTATTTGTATTTTACTAGTTAAATTTTTAAAAATATATTTTCAGGAAAAAATCCAGAAATTTTCTAAAGAAAGCAATTACTCAAAATTTACAGTTAGCAAACATTACATCTACTAATGCATGTGTTATATTTTCATTAAACATGTTCTTTAGAGTCATTTTATAATAAAACCTATGGTTCAGCAGACAAATTTGGAGGGCAGCACTTAAGATTGAAAACCGAAACATCTCTATCATTGTCTCTAAGGAATATATGACATAATTCTCAATCTACTTTTGCTTCTATACAATTACATAAGCAACATTTTTTTACCCATTGATCAGTAAGAATGGCAAACTTTCAATAGAATATCTTTGTTTATGATTTTTAAAAGGCTTTATAACTCAGTGTGACATTTTACTTTTGCCTAGCTTAGCAATGTATTAATACATTCACTTTTATTTTCTAAATGTACGGATATTTCACAAGACTTAAATAATAGAAGACAGAAATAATTTAAAATTCTGAGTGCATGCATTAAACTGACCTTCACATTTAGATCTAATATTCTACTGATTCCAACCAAAAAAGTGAAGAGAAACTGAGAGGTGAAATGTGGACAAACTTGAAAACAGCTTCCTTTAAAGACAAATGTCAGTGAGACCCAAATCCTTACACAAAAAATTTATATTCCTAAGTCAATATGCTGTAAAGTGCTTAAAGAACGGAGGTTTTGTTTATAACTTTTCATGATTTCTTAAACTGTCATAAATTCACAATGACAGGTAATATTTGCAGGGTAGGGTATCAAACCAATGCTTTAAATTCCGAAGAGTAAACACATTTTTTAAGCTACTAGATGCAGAGAAGAAAGAGCTCTTTACTATTATCAAAGACAAATTTCATCAAATATATAGGACTTTATACATTTGTTTATTCTTAAAATGTAAAGAAACCCAAAGGGTAAAAAACATTTGCAAGTCCAAAATGTGTAGACTTACTGGTACATGCCATAGAAGGTGGGTCTTTTTCAGCTCTGAAGTAACCCTTATCACACTGACAGACAGAAGTGGCTTCCATGTAGGTTAAACTGTGTGGAGGGCATTTAGAACACTTTGTGTTTCCAGCAAATGCTTTATAGAATCCTGGTCTGCAAGCTGTAAAAACAGGAAAAACAATTTCTTTTTAATTATTTTTCTAGAGGTTTTTTTTGGAAACATATTTTAATTTATACATACTTGGAATCTGAAGAGTTCAGCGTAACAAAGAAAAAGTCAAACTGTTAATATTAGTAAATCAAGTTAGCCATTTGTGATGTAAAGTTTAACTGTCATTTCGATTGGCTTGTTAACCTTGTAAGGGATGACAAAAGCATACTTTAGGGTGTGGTTGGAGGGATCATAAAAGCATGACCATGAGATCTATATCTGATCCCTCTCTCCTTCCTCTCTAGCACTGTTCCCTTCTTCTGTTTTCTGGAAGCAATGAACGAAGCAACCTTCCTCCACCAAACCCTTCTGCCATGATATTCCTGCTTGGAGCCAGCTTATCATATATTGAATCCTCTGAAACCACTAGCCAAATAAATCTCTTCTTTATGAAATTGCGGGGATTAGGCATTTTCGCTTAGCAAGAGGAATTATCTGACACAAAGTCAGTACAAAAATTATGACATATCTTTTCTGAGGTTGCTGTATTTTAAAATTAGTGTACGTCAGGCACACACACTCACACAAACATGCACATAAGCACACAAATTATTAGTGCTTCATAAGTGTGAAGATGCCTATAACTGGCAGTACAAGAGATGGTTTTGTGTAGTTTTGGAAAATGGCATTAAAAGACTGAATCATGCTATTAAATATGCATTTATATTTCATTTCTCCCTTAATCCTTGTTTGGACTCAAGAACAAAGTCTCAGTTTGGTCTTGCTATATGTTGAGCACACTTGCTAGAACTAAATTTTCTTTAGTATACTAGACTGTATTATGTTTTGATAGTTTGTCTTTGCTTTTTTTTTTTTTTTTTTTGGTTTTTTTGCAGTGCCAGAGATTGATCCCAGAATCTTGTGCATGCCAGGCAAGCACCCTACCACTGAGTTCCATCCCCAGCCCAGCGCTGCTCCTTTCTGGGTCCTTCTTTCT